AATATTAGTCATCACTCTATGCAGTTGCACTTGTGGAGTCCATGTTAGAAGAGAAAGGTTCAGGGTTTGGAGTGGAGCTTCACCCAACATGGTCACTCATCAAGGTTGCATGTACGTAGTCAATCTGTCTGGGAGTTGCTCTTGTGTAGCAATATTGTGTTACAATTACAATATGTAAGTTTTACTTCTTTCATTGTAACATGTGATCTATCTTCCCTATAATTCATGAAGGAGAGGATCCGGTAGTTCAATATGTTTTCCAGAATTTTATTCAATCAGACATTATTGATATTTTGTATGTTATTTTATCAATTGGACTTCTATCTGATAAATGTGTGATATTACAATTTTTATTTATTTTAATAAAGTAATCAATGGGAATATTTCCTTGAATAATTAGGTGAGGTTTATGTCCATATATATTTGTAGATCCACAATTATATCTAAGGCTGCTCCTTGGAAAAGAATGTCATAGTGTGATTTAATATTGCATGTTTAGAAATCAATAGTAACAACGAATGTAATGTTAGTCTAGTTTCTTTAATTAGTGACACACCATGTTCAGACTTTATCACAAAAAGGATTATAGAAGTGATGTTATCCAATCACATATAAGTATAATGTTTTGGAGTCTTATTATTTGAATTTTACAGGTTCGATCTATACAAACATCAATAATTTCATTATATGTTTACTTGTGCCCTGTTTCACTTTAATTTTTAAACTCTACACTATTAATACCTCAAGTCCTCAACCATAGTACCTTTCACTCATGCCTTAAACATCACGATTGATTATGGACTAATCTCGCCCATAAAAATAAAATTAAAGTTTTAACGAATGTCTCATATTGATTTATTGAGTTGTCTCACATAGCTAACACTTAATTTATGATTTATAGCTATATTTTCTGACATCCCCTCACCTGATTTTGACAAAAACCGAAAAATAGAATTCAAGGACCTATCTAGTATTTATTGATTTTATTCTAAATTTTGAATAGGAAATAAGAAGTATGTCTGCTTTAATCTCTAATTGCAATTTTTTTCTCATCCTTGTATTGAGGGATGTTTTTTAGTTTTCCATCCACCATAATTCAACGAAATCTCACATGAGTCACTGGACTACTATAATCTTTCTTTACTTAATATAAGCTTTAACTTTGCAATTCTATTATATGGGATTATTTAATTTAAGATTATATAAAGGTCATTGTATCATTAACTCCATTTAGGTCTAGCTTTCCATTCTGATACTCCCTCCGTCCCAGAAAATTCTTCCTAGTTTGACTTGGATCGGAGTTTAAGAAAGTGGGAATAAAGTGGAAATTTGTGGTTGTAGTTGTGTAAGAAAAAGGTGAAATGAATGTGAGCCACACAAATAATCAAAAAGGTGAAGTTGGAAGAATTTTCTGGGACGTCCCAAAAAGGAAAGTTGGAAGAATTTTCTGGGACGAAGGGAGTATTAAGTAAATGATACTACCTCCGTCCCCTAATATAGGGATGGAATGGAATGGTGTGGCTTTTCAAAAAAAGGTAAAGTTATGTGATTGATAATGATTTCATAAAGTGGAAATAAAGTAAAAATGAATGTGCTACTCCTTGAAATGATTAAAATTTCTTGAAACTTGATCTTTAAATATATCAACCTAAACATATTTTGTGAAGACTTCGTCTTTGTCTTTAAATTTCTACCACGCACTTTGGGGGTAGCATAAATCTAGATAAACTGCCAAATTGCTATAAAGATGAGGGAAAATTATTTGAGTAATATAAAAAAACATATAGTGTAGTCATGTAACACACACAAGAGTCAGATCTGTACTGTAGGTGCAGTAATATAAAAAACCATGTAGTGGAGTACGTCATATAGTGTACAAAGAGCGTTTATTGTCCAAAATTTGTATGATGCTTCATTTCTTTACGTGATTTGTATTGAATACCGAAATTCGAAGTGTTGCATATTATTGAATACTGAAATTTGGGTGATGAAATAAACGATTGCATATTAACATTGAAAATGTTGCATCAAGAAAAATTGGTTTATTTAACAAAATGTCACCGTGTATTTCGCGGCCCTTAGAGCTTAAATCCAATGCACCTTAAATATTTGCATTTTTTTGTAAGTTGAGAGCACGATTTATATGATCTCATATCACGCACACATAGAGTATCGTTCCTTTCAGGAGCTCTTGACCAGAACCGTACTGCCGTTTGAGGTGGTTTCTGGTGGAGTTTTTGTATAAAATTTGAGGAAATGCTCTTCATGAAGTACATATTATGTCCACAAATACTCATCTTAAAATTCAATCAGAAAGCCAGTTAAATAAATTACTGAAAAGAATTGCGCTTGTTATAATCAATGTACAATTTTCATGCTCGAATCTGGATATTCTTATACTAATATGTTCTCTTTTTTATTTAGGATAACATTTTATAATTAGTTTTTGGTACTTATTGATAACTTAAGATTTAGTATGCTTGATGAGTTTGTTTCAAAAATAATGATAAATAAAAAGATATTTACAAAATTAGGGTCCGTTAAATCTATTTATCAAAATACTATCAGAATGAACTGTAATTAACCAAAGAGCACCAAAGACGTCAACTCACTTGACAATTTTCTCTTAAAATTTGAAATCAGGAACAAAGCTTAGCAAACGGGAATAGCTAGCAAATCAAATCACTTCATGGACCAAAACTAAAAAAAAACTCTCTTTCTTAAGTTCCTTTAACTCTTTTATTATTTATAATCTAGTTTTTACAAAAAAAAAAATATCAAAATTAATCACTTTTAATTATCTTACATATGACACCAATATTCCATATATAAATTAAATTAAATTAAATTGAATCCCAATATATTTATTTTAGAATTTGGATCTACTTAAGAAAATTTTTGAACATAAAAACTCCACCAACCGTATATTTATTTTCTAATATGCAGTATTAGGTTGATAAGAATAATAATAAAAATTGGAACAATTAATGATATTGAACTATCTAGTTGAACACATATGCTTAACAGTAGTGATGGAGTACGTAAGGCGCAATGAGATATGGGAAAAAAAATATTACTGAATTAATTTAAATCTAAACTTATTTAAACTAATAATCTACCTATTACTAATCTATTCAAATTAATCTACTTAATATATAGTGGTGTGTGCCTAGCAATTTTTACGGCTATTGATTAGCCTTTTAAAAAATATCTCAAAACTAATCAAAACTCTACCGTATTTATCTGATAAGTCTCTCCCGTGATTGAAGCATGCCGTTGTCTAAAATCAGGAGGGGAAGTTGTATTAGTTTAAATTGTAACAATTTTGGGCAAAATCTAAAAATTATCAATTCTAATGATTGAACTCAATTGCAATTTAGGTAGAAATCAATTTCAATTGAAATGACTCTACTTTATTAGTACTAAAGTAGATAAATGCAATTATTGAATTATACAACGGAAAATACTTTACTCACATTAATTTAAATTTTATTTGAGATCTTTATGTTCTCCGGTTATGATCCATTATAACTTATTGATCATAACTTAAAATCATAAGTAAAATCCGCTTATCAAATAACCTGCATTACTTATGTTATGTTATCAGCATAATTTGCTAAACATAAAACGTTAGGCGAAGGGCGTAACCCTCCTTTGCACAAAATATCTCTGAAATGGTATTTAGTTCGTATTTTCCTTAAAGGGAAAGAAAGCAAGAAGGAAGAATAATTAAAAAAGCTGAAAAATTAATGTGAAACACGGAATCCTACATCCGATAATGTTTAGGACAGTAAAACATAAAAATACATACAAATACATATATATTAAAATTTTATGGTAGATAATAATGGCCTTTTCTTTTATAAAACTTAGATACTTTGTATTTTAAAGAAGGGGGATTTATCTAGATAAGACTAAAACATATGTCATCTGCTCTAAAATAATTGTCTTGTTTACTTTAGCACATGTTTTAAGAAATGGTTAAAAAGTATAAATTATTGTTGTGATATGAGTAGAATGAGTAGAAAACATATGAATTGATATGAGTCGCATATTATTGTCAAAAGATCAAACAAAACAACTATTTTAGGACATTCAAAAAAGTAAAATAAGACAAATATTTTGTGACGGATAGAATAGTGTTTTTCCCAAACTTAGACCAACTAGTTCAAATGCCATTGTTCGAAAACTCATTAGGTGCTAGTCGGACGGTTTAGGAGCACCTAGCATCTAAGCGGCCGACTAGGCCGAGTTTTTGATCGACTAGGCCGATTTTCCGGCTGATTAGGCCAATTTTTTGGCCGACTAGGCCGATTAGTGCTCTATAGTTAGGGCGACTAGGCCGATTAATTGGTCCGACTAGGCCAATTTTTAGAACAGTTGACGTAGCTCACCTGGTAGGAAGAGAGTGTCACAAGGGAGAGATTCCAAATTAGACTCCAAGCAATGATTTGGGATGAAACCTCACTCTTTTTTCATCAGAGTGAGATCAAACCTCAATGTACATTCTCCACCGATGAAGTGTCATCCTTTTTTAGACAAATGATGTCAATGTATAATAGGAGAAATAATTTAGTAATATCCAATTAATTAAGAGTTTCAAAAGAATGTACTCAGTATCTTTTTCGTCCACAACAGATTTTTTAGTCATATTTAAAATAAAAATATGGAATTATATTAATTATTTCTCTTCTGGTCCAATATATTTAAAAATTAATTTAAAATGATCCGAAGTGGTCTGGTTTAGAAGGGAAAGAAATAAATCCACCCAACCATAGCCTAATCATTCAACAACGAACGAAAAGCATATCTAACCTGATTTTCCTCCTTGAATAACTCGTCTAACGTGTAAATTAAGAGTGCAATTGTTGATTAAAAAGCTCCACTGAGTTCCTAAGACAGAATGGTTGGGTGGGCCAGGGGGGTGTGGGATCGCGTTCCCTAATCAGAGAGAGAGAGAGGTGTAAAGAAGACTTAAATGACAGCTAGCAGTGAGTGAAGGGAGATCCCAACCTACCATACCCCACACTCATCTTCCCTTTTTTAGCCCTTCTCTTCCTCATTCATACCCTCCATTCCCCTCTCCTCCATCTCAAACTCCATTTCTCCCCTTCCCTTCTCCTCCACTCTCCTCCTACACACTTTTAAGGTACTTTCTTCCTCAGCTTCTGATGGGTCTGGTTTGATTATTTGATTTCTGGGTTCTTTTTCTCCCTTGGAGTTCTTTCTGTTTGGGCTTTTCTTTCAGATTTTGGGATTTTCTGCCCCTCTGCTCTGTTTCTGGTGTGTTTTGGGGACAGTTTTGGGGCAAAAGATTAGTTCGTTGACCTCTCATTTCATTTTTCTGGTTTTCCATGTGGATTTCTAGCTGTAAAGGCTGTTTCTTTTTCTTTTTATCTCATTTTTCTGGCCTTCAAATTGAAAATTAAGCTACTTGCTCTGTTTCTTGAAAAGAGGATTTTTCAGAACATGTTTCGGACAAACAAAAACAGTTTTTGGGTTGAAATGGGAAATTTACGAGATTTAGAGCTCCTGAACCGTAATTATTGCACTCTTTGGAAGCAAAATTCGAAAAATTCGAAGGCCAGAAAAAAAAAATCGAAATTCCCTTTATCCTGAAAATTATGGGTTTGCACCTAATTTTACAAATTATTAATTTTTACACTCTTACGAGTATTATTTATTACAGATATCTGTCCAAGGACTTTCGTAACGGCACGCTGCAGATTTATTACTCCGTAATTGAGATATGGGGGTGTAAAATTAAATTTGAACAAAAGTGGGGTGCAAACCAAAATTTAACCTTTTCCCCTCTGCTCAGATACACTTCATTTGCAGGAATTTCCCTAAAAAAAGTATATATATATATATTATATATATATATATATATATATATATATATATATATATATAAATGTATATATTACTCCGTATAATTTTTATATATAAATAGAGAGAAGGCTCATGGTCAAATCCGATTTTGCGGATGGGATTCCATTCAAATCCAATTTCATATTTAATTACCGTTTAATCAATTCAATTATTACATGTTTTGCTCATTAATTTTACTCTGTAACTTTTACGGAGTATATTTCAAAAAATTGTCAGATTTTAAAATTTTTGGGAAGATAAAGACTCTGAGCTATCTTCTCCGCTTTTTGGAGTGATATAATAGTTAAAATCAAAACTTTGAAGCAAAGAATTAAATATCTTGGAAAAGAATTGAATATTTTCCCATTTACAGACGAAGTAAATCCGTTTCGGTTAAGAGTTTTTGGGGTTGGGATTTTTTCAAATACAGAGTATTTACTTTTCTTTCCCGTCGGTTAAAACTGATTGTTTTCATTTATGGCAGGTGAGAAGTTTTTGTAGGTAAAATGAATTCAAATTACGTTGACGAAATGGACTGCGGCAGCTTCTTCGATCACATTGATGACTTGATCGACTTTCCGCCGGAGAACGAGTGCGCCGGTTTGGGCTCCGGCGAGGGCGTTAATTTTCCGAGCATGTGGAAAGAGCCGTTGCCGGAGTCTGACCCTATTTTCTCCGGCACCGCCGCCAGTTCAGCTTCTGCTCTCTCCGCTGAGCTTTCTGTACCGGTGAGCTTAACTTTTCCGGTTGCCGCCCGCTTTATTGTTGAAATCATTTTATTTGAAGAAATTCCCTGAATATTATTTCTCGTATTGGGTCTGAATTGAACAAAAATATTAATTTTAAATTTTAAAGCATAAATATTTCTACAGCAATTAACCTCAATAATAATTAAGGACTCATTTCTAACACTGGAAATTGGCTGAATCGAGTGATTATGTTTAAATTTATGAATTTCTGGCTGAAGTGGTTGGATTGACTAATTTATGAAAAAAACAAATTTAAAATATACTACGTACTCTGTATTTATTCATAAAATATAGAAAAAAATTAGATGATAAAATAGTTAAAATGATTCTCTACAAGAACGTCAACCAATACAGCTACAAAAGTAACTTTAATTTCACTTCACGTATTTTGATTATAAAACAATTCAGTCTGCGAAAACAAAAATTGCGTGCTCGATGAAAAAATTGACTGATAAGATTGATAAACTGAAAAACATGGAGTGGGCTCTAATACTCCTTAACCAATCACTATTATGGAGTATAATAAGGTCATCAAATGGGAAAAAAATATATGGAAAAGTCGGAGCATTATGTTTTTTCCTTAATAATAAGATGTCAAGCAATCGAGCTTTAAAAATATCATTAATTTACATTTATACTATCATACCCGGAGTATTAATTTTTTGTAATAATGTCAAAATTTGATGATATATTTTCTGGATAAAGACCATTTACTCTTATTTTGGCAGAAAACATGATACTTATGTTCTGTATTTTAAATGAGACATTTTCAAATATATAATCTTATCAACATTTATGTCTTAAAATAAAAATGGTCATTTTTTCGTGTGAACATTTACAGAAATTTTTAGATAAGTTTAAGGCATTTTTTTTCAAAAGGATAAATTATGCTGTTAAGAAAATCAAACCGGCTATAGTGTTTGCATATGTAGCCATTTATGAATCATATGTTTCGTCTAATGGTTGGTTGGAAATTATGATGGTCGCATGTGGTATTGTCTCCCTCATAGTCACACCCCCACTACTTGTCCAAATTTAAATGTGGGGAGGCTTATAATATAATTACACCCACTCCCAAAATGTGTTTTTTTTTTTTCATTTTTCTTGTAGGTCCTCAAAATGTTGTACCTAATTTCATTTTAACTTGTCCATTTTTTATTTAAATAAGTTTTTGAAAAGTAAATCTCAATGATGTAATTCTTCCTTTTCAAAAAAATAAAAAATAAAAAAGAAGAACTAATTGGAGTAGAGGGTGTATTCCTTATTGTCTAAGTATTCTTTCCATTTGTAGTTGTCAAAATTATTTTCATCTTTGACAGCATTGCAAGCCAACTCATTTTATAATAATTGTGTGGGTCCCCATATGAAAATTTAACGGTCGAAACAAAATCTCAAACTTTCAAATCATGTAAGAATTAAACTTACATAAACTGAATATAAAATAATTAATAGATATTTAAAATATGTACTACTATTGCTCTATTTCATTTCAGGATAAAACCCCAAGTCACAATATACTTATTTTATTTATCATTTCATCATTTCCCTCTTTCTTTGTAAGATTCCTATTGCTTTTCGTCCTTTTTAAAAGTTCAAATTTCCAAATTGTTAAACAATGATCAACTTCTGTATTTTTTTCTTTAAAATTGTGGCATACTTTGATATAAAAAAAATTGAAACAGAGTACATTGTAATAAATACTTAGAACAACATAATTGTACTTTGGAAACAGTTTTTGTACTTAATTTGGATCAGTTGGTCCCCGGATGGGCCGTAGTTATACCAATGATTTCACCTATATAAGCAAACTTGTGGAGTAATGCATTTATATGGGGAAAGCTCCCGAAATAGGACTAAAACAGTTTGATAATTCCAAAATAGGACCGACATGTTTTTTATTCCCAAAATAGGAGTAATTACTATCAAGTTTGGAAAATATTGTCATGTTTGAAGTCTGGTACTGCCAAAACATGATAGTAATTTGTCCTATTTTGGGAATAAAAACATGACAGTCCTATTTTGGAATTTTCAAATCTTTTTAGTCCTATTTCGGGTAATATCTCATTTATATGCAATCAAAAAACCATTTTATATCAAGTAAAAGTTAATTTATACAGTGCTACAAGCATGATCTTATCAGAGGTTAAGTTTTGTCACATGTTTTAGTTCCATATAATACTCTGTAGTCTGTATGGGTAATACTTTTGCATGGTTTGAATTATCAAGTTGAGAATATGGTAAACTTCTTTTAGTTCTTTCCATTTAACACAAATAAACAATTTGTTCGTTTGGTCACGCTTTTATCCTAACGTGTTCTTCATTTTGTTTTCCAGTACGAGGATATCATACAGCTCGAATGGCTTTCAACGTTTGTGGAGGAGTCGTTCTCGGGGGGAGGACTCACCCTTGGCAAGGAAAACTGTCGCCTGAACCCTTATCTCCCTCCATCATCTCATGCTAATAACAAATTGCAGGCTGCCATCTCTAGTCCGATTTCGGTCCTTGAGAGCAGCAGCAGCACCAGTAGCAGCAGCTCCTCCTCCTCTAGCTCGGGAGGTATTATGGTAGCACCCCTGAGCCCGAACCAGCGTGGCCCGCAGCGTGCACGCAGTAAACGCCCCCGGCCTGTGTCATTTAACCCTCGGTCCGTGATGCAACTGATCGAGTCCCCACCACAACTCCAGAGTTTTGTGGGCCCAGAAGAGAAGAAGCTCCACTCTAAGCCACCCGCACCTGAGCAGCAGAAGAAGAAGAAAAGGAAGATTAAATTCTCCATGCCATCGGGATTGCCTCCTCAGCAGAAGGAGGATCGTGAGGCGGGGGGTGAGAAAATGTATGCACTGTGAGATAACTAAGACACCCCAGTGGCGGGCGGGTCCCATGGGGCCGAAGACGCTATGCAATGCTTGTGGGGTCCGCTACAAGTCGGGAAGACTCTTCCCGGAGTACCGGCCTGCTGCTAGTCCTACGTTCGTTCCATCGGTGCATTCTAATTCTCACAAGAAGGTTGTCGAGATGAGGAACCGGTCACTGCCCGCTGTTGTGATCACTCCAACCATTGCCCAGCCCGAAGTCAAATGAAATCTAGCCGAAAAGAAGCAGAGCACAGTTTTCTTAGGCAGGAAATTTTCCTAGCTGCAGTTGAAAGTGTTGTTATTTGGTGTTTAAGGTTGTCCCATATTTCATTGGTTCATTGTACAGAACTGTTTGAGGGTAGAGAAACATTACTAGCTTTTATTGCCATATCTTAGCGAAAATTGAAAAGGAAAGGATTTAGGGGATAGGAAACAGTTCTTTTTTTTTTTTAAATCTAGTGTTTGTTTAGGTCTTTGAAGGATTGCGAGTAATAGGTTGTGTCAGTCTCAATTCTTTTGTTAGACTATGCTTATCTTTGATTTTTTTTCATCTTTTGTCTTGGTTTTCTTGTGTAGAATATGTTCTTTGTTTTGTACCAATGTTACCGGGAATTATTTTTTGCAGTTATGAATCTGTTATTAGAAAATTCTTAAATTGTTTATGGACCAAATTTGGAATCGAGTCTCATTTCTGACTCGTGATTTGCAAATTGAATTATCATTTGGTTGATAATTGATATTAATAGGGGAAATTCTATTTAGAGAAATCTATTTTCTGAACACCATTGTGAGACCACTCTCTCTCTCTCTAGGCGAGAACTTCTCTCTCTAGGCGGCCGTCTCCCATAGGGTTAGGGGTTGTTTTTCTCCGCTTTCGTCTTCGACGAAGTGCGGCTTTCTTGTGCAGCTTTCGTCCGCCTTTCGTAAATCGTGAGACTCTCTTCTTTGGCAGACCGCAACGCCTATATGGCGGCCAAAAGTTGGGTACCCCTAGCAGTAGGCAGTAGGTGAAGAGTTTTGAAGCCGTTCATGGTTGAGATCAGAAGGTCATTGACAAAGCGTGAGGCTAGGGGCTGAAACAGATCTAGACCGGAGACAAGGAGCGGAAGATGCTACAATACTGTTGGACCGTCCTCCTCCTGAACCGCCGCCATGGAGTGCAAGAGAGTTAAGGATTTGGAAGCAGTATTTTAATTTTAATGATTGCTTGCTTTTTTTTCATGATCATACTTTTTTTTTGTCGGTTACTTTTATTGTTGTAAGACTCTTGCATTAGGATTGAGTGATGAGAAGTCTGTTTTAACCGACGTCGGCTCATTTGTGCCCATTATAGGATCAACGAGTTATATTTTATGTGGTCCTTTTGTTGTTTTACCCCCTATCTGAATGTTGTGATTTGAATTTAAGCCATCTGTTTTGACGATAAAAAAACAGATGTACATATAACGCCACCTAAGTTGAGCCTGTGAGTTTGAACACTTCGTGTCTTTTTTCAAAAAAGTCTTTTGCACACATTATTACTATTTACACACTTTTACATATAGACAAAACATGTTTTGTCCGTGACAGACAAAAAACTTTTACAAACAGTACATACAAGTGTGTAAACAGTAAAATTAAAATCATAAGATGTTTGATTTCTTACAAGAATAGCAATAAGATTAAGTTGTGTGCTCAGCCTTGTTCTTTAGGCCCAAGGATAGGTGTGTGTAGTCCAACGGATAGCCCAAGTTGGACCTCTGTTATGATTAATGCATGTAAGCCCGATGATCATGTATCCTTATGTTATGTCTCGAGTCTTTGTCTATCCTCATGACTTATGGTGTAGTATACAATTGATAGATGAAATGTCTAAATAAATATGAGTATATTCTAATATCTTTTACGCTCAACTATATTATGATCCGCTTAGTTTTTTTTTTTTTGCAAGTAAAAGAGTTAACTTACATTAATCAAATCATTGTCAAGAATGCAAGAAATAAACGAAGGAGGATCATAAAACCAAGAACGTGAATCAGGCATAGAACAAGCAGCCTTAGCAATGGTGAGACCTAACTTATTCCCTGACCGCCTAATAAAATAGAACGAGATATTAGCAAATTTATTTGCTAGAACTCTTATGTCTTCTGCAATCAAACCAATGGAGGAACAACTTTCACTCTTCCAGATCTCCGAGATAGCTTGAGAAGCGTCAGACTCCACCTTGATGTTCTGCCAGTTTGTCCCCTGGATCCAGCTTAAAGCTTCTCTAATCCCAATCAGTGTTGCCTCCAAAGAAGAAATCATTCCAGTCCACGGCTTAGCCATTCCAGCTACGAAGCTACCCTCCTCGTCGCGCAATCACCAGACCAAGCCGCAACGATCCGACCGAATTGCAGAATCCACATTCAACTTGAGTCTACTCGAAGTTGGTCTATGCCAAACAGGGGTAAGATGATCTGCAGCCGCTGCTCTCCTTCTTTTCTCTTGGGCCCATCCTGAAACAAAAGACTGAGCCCTGGACATAAAATCTTTAGCAGTTGAAGAAACATTCTGCCATACTCTTCTGTTTCTTTCGCGCCAGAGGGCCCACACCCCCAAACTAAGACTTCCAAATCTTCCCTTCTTCTTGACTGAAATTCAATCTTGAGCTGCTCCAGAAAGTGATTTCCTCCATAGCCGGCCCAGCTCCAAGAAATTGATCTCCACGCCTTTTGCGCAACCGAGCACGACCTGAAAATATGTAATAAGGATTCCCCGTCTTCGCCGCATAATCCACAGCTCGCTGGACAGTTCACTCTCCGAGATATGAGCATTTCTTTCGTTGGTAAACATTCGCTACAAACCAGCCAAAAAATTAGGAGGAATTTTCCAATTCCACATACCAGTTCACCCCATCCAACTGTCGGGATTAAGCTCTCCAACAAGACGTCGATAACAACTTCTGACCAAAAAACGGATGTCCTCGTCCCACCTCCGCTGCTAAGGGGAATCCTTTGAACTAGGATAGCATCCCTGCCTTCCAGGATATCATTGAGAATATCATCCTCCCAAGCTATGCCAGTTTCATCCATAAGATTCCTAACTGCGGCCTCGTGTAAACCTTTCCCCCGCTATCGTAATAACTCTCGGGTTACTTGGGTCCGGCAGCTACGGTTCATCCCAAATGTTAATGGACCTGCCGTCCCCAACCCGCCACTTGTAACATTCCCGAATAATATTTTGTGTCTCGAATAAATTCCTCCAGACGAAAGAGGGATTATGACCAAGATTAGCTGTCAAAAAAGTCCCCCTCGGAAAGTATCTGGACTTAAAAACTCTTCCAACAAGGGAATCCGGATGATTAAAGAGACGTCACGCCTGTTTCGCCAACATGACTAAATTAAATTCATGGAGTCTCCTAAAACCCATACCACCAGCCTTCTTCGGAGTACTTAGCGAAGCCCAATCCTTCCACTGAATACCCGAGCCAGACTTAACTTTCTACCAATACCCATTCATTAAAACTTCAATTTCCCTACACAAATCATTAGGCAGAAGAAAAACATTCATTGCATAGGTAGGCATAGCTTGAATCACTGATTTCAACAAAACCTCACGACCCACTTTAGAGAGAAATTTATTATTCCAATTATGAATACGACTAACCACCCTCTGTTGGAGATAACCCAGGATTTCCTTTTTTCCCCTACTTGTCAGGGCCGGAAGGCCTAAGTACTTTTCATACGGCCCAGCCATTCCGACCCCCAAGAGGTCAATCAACCCCGCTCTACAATCCTGGTTCACGTTAGAGCTGAAAAAAATCCTGGATTTGTGAAAGTTTATTACCTGACCCGATGATCTTGTAATACTTGAGATTTAATTTAAACGGATTAATAGTACTACTCATACCAACAGAGGTGCATCTCCTTTTAAGGAAGCTCGTCAATTAAAAACTCCAAATTTAAGCATGCTTACACGGGAGTAGTTTTGGGATGGGTAACCCCCTGAGAAGTTTCTCAGGGCACGTATGAGTGAGGACAAAGTGCGCGATAAAGGCTCGTGGTGGTTTGTGGGGATAGTACTAGAGGTATGGAGTAACTACCTCGGGTCCAGCGAACTAGGTGTTACAGATCCGCTTAGTTTTAATCTGTTAACAGAACCGTCTAATGAATTTGGAGGCCCCGTTCCGAACGCAAAATCGAGGCCCTATTTTAATATTAAGAATTAAAAAAAATCAAACGAAATACTTATACTGAAATAATGTAAATACTCATCAAATATTGTAATAACAATTCTAAAAATCACTTAATAGTTGATTTAAAGCTACACAACTCATCACTCAATCAAGTAAAACATGAGTAAGAGTACCGACAAAAAACAATTATTTTATTGATTAGTATTTATTTATATTATTACTATGTAATACTAATATTTTTTTTGGAAATTTGGGCCCCAAAAATCGGGAGACCCTGTTCCGTAGAACATGCTGAACGCCGTCTCTGTCTGTTAAGATTTGCATCTATAAGTTTTAAGTCCTTTAATTTATTTATTCAAGTATGCCATTTTGTGGATCATGTGTGTATTTAATAAGATCTAAGTATGTGTAGGCATGATAGTTCCTGAAGATAAATATGATTAACTTATATGATTCCGGTAGACATAGCTCAACTGGTAGCGAGGGAGTGTCACAAGGGTTAGGTCCCGGGTTCGAATTCCGGCAATTGCGATGAGAGGTTACTATGCTAAAAATGCATAGGGCCTCTGTAAGTACCGGGGACGGAGCCCTACTCTCTATCTGTCAGATTGTGATTATAGTCCAATTTGTTTCACAATAGTCCAATTTACATCCCCATCGTGCCGTCCGGTCGGTGTTGGGTGGTTCTCAGCGATGTGTGTCATCCTTTTTTTATTAACTTATATGATATGATTTATTATGCTCAGTTTATGGGAATTGATTATGTTAGCGTTGTGCATATGATTTCGTTCCACTCAATTTAATTGAGCATGCAATTATTTTTGCTACACGTAGTGAATGTTATCTCGTAGAAGTCAGGCATAGAGTCAAGAGTCGGGGAAACTTGCTCACAGCTCACATATCTTGTTTTTATTTGAGCTTTGATATGCTTTATAAATAAATATACTTCTTGATCGATTTGATGAGTTGTGACCAACAAGTACTTTATATTTTATCTTTTTAATGTTACACTTTGGCAAATTGTTTTTTACTTACCTAAATATAACTCTTTTATTCTACATCGAGTTACTTACCCTATTTGGAATCCAAAATCCGTTACTATCTATCTCATTTGAGTCGATTTGGTTTGGGTTAACCAAACCCTCTTAATCAAGTGGGTGTTACAAACAAAAAGAACAAAGAGGGTAAGGAGAATTATTGTCACTAATTAATGGCTTACCATTCACTTCGCATCATTATTTCAGTAAATTCGGTAGTCATGACTCTTAAAAGGGCTGATGGTTTGGAGGTTTGTAGGTCTATTATCGCTAGGGCTATTATCGTCATTTTCATTAAGAGACGTGAGGAAGAGACAAGATCGAGAGAGGATAACATAAAAGTATCGGCGGTATCGATAAGATTATTGATGACATATTATTCACAAATTATTTAGGGTGTGAGGCGAGTGCCCCAAACTTGCGCATGCAATATATAGGGGTGTTTTTGGATCTATTTCTTAAAACTGATTCTGCTCCTTCGGGGAGCAGAAGCACAAGCAGGAGTGTTTGAGTGAAATTCCAGAAGCACTTCTGGTGCTCCAATTTACTCCCAGAATCAATTTTTTTAGAAGTTGGGGGGGTACCAGCTTCTGAAAACTGATTCTGATTCTGCTTCTACTTTAAAAAAGAAGCAGAATCAGTTCCAAACACCCTTATATACTCCAAACTCTATATAAAAAGATATGTTAGCACCATGATCATATATTTTTTCACAAATATAATTTTACGGTGTTAAGTATATAATTTAAAAAAAAAGGAAGTACATAATTTAAAATAGAGTGAATTCCCTAAATAGGACTAAAAAGTGGAAAAATTGCACAAATAGGACTACATTTTTTAAATTCCCTTAATAGGACTATTTATATGTGTTTGGACAAATATACCCTTGTAACTTGTGAAATGCTTTAATTAATAATAAAATCATAAAAAAAATAATAAAAATCGAAAAAAATACTAAAAATCGTAAAAAAAATAATAGAAAATTAATAAAAATATTTTTTTTTAAAAAAAAATATTTTTTAAAAAAAAAATAAAAAATAATTAAAAAAAATCATAAAATTAAAAAAAAAACACATTACCACCCCTGCCACCCCAACACCATCATCTCCCATCACCGGACAAAAATATGCCAACATTTTAAATAATGCCATAATGATGGCATAATCAATGAAAATGTTGGCATATTGAAGAGTAATTATGCCATCTTTTTGGCATTTTCAGAAAAATATGGCATTTTTTTACCAAAAGTGGAAGAAATTTCACCAATCGGAGGTGGTGGTGTTGGGAGGCGGCGGGAGGCGGTGAGAAAGGTATCCATAATTTTTTTCATTTTTTATGGGTTTTTACTATTTTTTATTATTTTTTTAAAAAAATTAAAAAAATAAAAAATTAAATTTTTTATTTTATAAATGTTTTATAAATTTTTTTTAATTTTTTTACGTTTTTTAAATATTTTTTTACGTTTTTTGTGATTTTATTATGAATTAAAGCATTTTATTATGAATTAATACTCTTAGGGGTATTTAGGGTAGAAAATCAATGTTTAGTCCTATTTAGAGAATTTTAAAAATAGTAGTTCTATTTGTGCTTTTTAGGAACTTTTTAGTCCTATTTAGGACAATTTCCGTTTAAAATACCCAAAACATTTGTGAGGATGCAATAAAAATTAAATTGTACCGGATGTAATATTATTAATTTCACAAATGAAGTTTTAGAATGTTAATTGCATTCTAACAAATTTAAATTATTCCAATAAATTTAAAATTATCTAATTATTCCAATAAGTTTATATTTGTAAAATAACATACAATTAGCGAAAATTTGTATTTGTATTTGTAAAATTAAACTTTGTGAGGGTAGATAAACATTACTAGCTTTTGTTACCATATGTTAGCGAAAATTGAAAAGGGAAGGATTTAGGGGATAGGAAACAGTTTTTTTAAATCTAGTGTTTGTTTAGGTCTTTGAAGGCTTGAGAGTTGAGAGTAATAGGTTGTGTCAGTCTCAATTCTTTCTTTTGTTAGGCTATGCTCATCTTTGATATTTTTTTCCTCTTTTGGTTTGATTTTCTTGGGTAGAATATGTTCTTTTTTGTACCAATGATACCTGGAATTATTTTTTTGCAGTTATGAATCTGTTATTAGGAAAATTCCTATATTATTTATGAGCCAAATTTGAAATCGAGTCTCATTTCTCATTTGTGATTTGCAGACTCTATTATCATTTGGTTGATATTAATAAGGGAAATTTTATTTACAGTTATCTATTCTCTAAATATACACGCCTATTTTCCGAAAAATGTAAAATTATTTCATAAATTCCTACTATATATTTATGTACTTATAACACCATCCGAGTCGAGCCATTTCAAAACCTTCTCTCTCATATATCGAAAACAAGCTATCGAAAGCAGCAAATGGAGCAATGGGTAAACTTTAAACTCTTTCATATACTCACATAAACCCCTTTAGTTTCATTTAAAAACATCCTTAAATTTATCCCATCAGAATCCATCCTTTTATCAATCACAATTCATAATCAAGGGAATGCAATTAGTTGTCATTCTTTGCTTTCTGCTTCACTGTGATGGAAAATTCCCTTCTATTGAGCACCCGTTCATTAGACACAATTTGTTTACTAGGTTAAGTTGGAAGCTCGAAAATTTCTCTCTTCACGAAAAGTTCAAACATTGGTCGATAATAAGAGAGTTCTATTGGAAATGTGATGAAATAAATAATAATGATTTAATATACGATTATGTTTTTCTAAAGGAGAAACGCCGGTTTTGTAGTACCGAGCAATAAAGGTGATTTAGAGATTTGAATTACTTTCATTTAGTTTTATTTAATTATTAAATAGAATTACCCTAATAATAGTTAGGACTGAATTAGTCGTCGTCCAGACCCGGTTCACATCTGCTCTACTTACAATGTTACCCAGTTAGACTCGTGAAATTGCTTTACAACAATAATAATAGCAAATAGTGGTAGTTATAATAGTAATAATATTATTTATTTCTTACCTGAAAAAAGTAACACAAAATACACTTCGTCAAGCGGTCAAGGTTAGTATATAACAATTATTCAAAAAAAAGGTTAATATATAACAATATAAACTGGATTATATTGCGTAGTAATTAACTTTACAACATGACCACATATTGGAAGCAATATGCTTCAGTTATAACAAAGAAACCAAACACTAATTCTACAAATATTCCAATTTGGAGAGGATAACCATTACAATAAAGCTCTTGCATTTCAAATATGCTGTCCCTTGTATTTACACATATAAATTACTTTTCTAATTACTACATCTGACTTTAGTGTTTAAAGAAGCTTCATCATGAAACTAAATTGAACATCTGAAGAGATCCTTGGTTGAGGCCAGTTAGCTCCATCTGGAACTTTAATGAATTTATACCCCTGACTAGTGTATAGTTTTGTGGCTCCAGGGTTAGTGGCATCACAATGTAATGCAATGGCACAGCATCCCCAGCTACGGGCCTTAGCCTCGGCTTTTGCAATGAGCTTTTTTGCTATGCCCTTCCTACGGAAGCTCTCCCGAACAGCAACATTTGATATGTACGCTATCCCTCTTCTACACATGATTAACATGTTAAACTACTCAAGTATTAGAAGCATGACCTTTTCTCAGGAGGCAATATAACTTATGCAGACAGAGGCTTAAGTGTGTTTTTGTTTGTGCAAACGTAGTACGTAGTATATTTGTTTCCATTCCCTGTAAGAAAACGTTGTTCATCGTTTTAGTTCACATCGTTTTCTTTTTAATCTATCCCCTGCAAATTTTGACATTCAAATTTTCACAAAACTCCTCTATTAACTCCACTAAGTATTTAGAATTGTAAAACAACTTTATCCTTTATTTTCTTAAAACCCACAGCAGATTTGTATGTATCTTATACATGGGATGGAGGGAGTAAAGAATGGATATATTGAGTTAATGACAAACATATGACTAAAATAATACACATGAGGACAGGGGCGAAGTCACCATTGTTCAAAAGTGTTCACATGAACACCCAAAAAATTGAAAAAGAGTGTAATACATGAATAAATATTGAACTACTAAACTGGAAATTCAAAATCCGCCACTGCATGAGGAGATTATTTTAGTAATGTTTTTGGATAAAAAAACCAAATATATATAGGAAAAGAGAGATACTTGAAAGAGAACAACTATGGATTTTCTAATAAAATATTACTGAAATACGTAGTATAACTTATGGCAAAAATGTGTTTATGTGAGTAAAGTTGGACATATTTGTGATCACTATGTATTAAAAATCACATTTTTGTTCACTATCTCTTTTTTTGTCATATTGATCATTACTTTGCAGTGTATTAGTGTATGTAAGATCACCTTCTCTGCCATGATGGTCCTTTCCGGGGAAGAAAATCAGCGACAGTGTCCACAGTCAATATCCCGGACACATAACCTTTATCCATGAGACTCATTCCTCCATTAATGCTCCCAATTGTTAATTCTTCATTACTTCCAAATAAGAAGGAACCTTCTTCCTCTGAGCTTCGCTCAATGACAGCAACTAGACATGTTCTCTCACAGCCATTAGGTATGGAGAATCCAAAAAGCATTCCCATCAGCCTGTCCAACCTTAACACAAAATCTAGAGGAAAAGAGTATTCTGGGAAGAAGGAGCTGCAATGGGTCTCAGCCACTTCCCACCAGTCTTCCAACCTTGCCTCTCTAATAACTATATCAGGTGACACCGCTGGGAAGAGTTCAGCTATTTGACTAGCCCTACAATGACCTAAACAACAAAGCAGAAATAGTGTAATCAGAAGTCTATATTTATTTATTGACACCGACAATGATATGATGTGTTAACATGCTTTCTTTTAGGGCTATTTGGTTGGGGGATTTTGGAGTGGAGGACTAAGTTTTCTTTTATTTATTTGTCTTCTTTTGTACGTTAGATAGTGGGTTTCTCTAAATTTTTGTATCTTCACTTTTTCTTTCAATAATACGATATAAGAATACATTTTAAATTAAATACTCCATATCATTCTTCTCGTTCACTTCCCATCAAAATCCTCCAACCAAATAAAGGTTAGATCCATCATCCAAATGAAGTGTCAAACAATAGAACCATTTTGTTTTCCTTCCTCCAAGTCTACTCCATATCATTCTTCTCGTTCACTTCCCATCAAAATCCTCCAACCAAATAAAGGTTAGATCCATCATCCAAATGAAGTGTCAAACAATAGAACCATTTTGTTTTCCTTCCTCCAAGTCTACTCATAACAGTCCTAACTTTCAATTTCTTGAAAACAATCCAGCATTTGTTTGTTTCCTTCTTATAGCAGTCCACCTATTACCATTTTCATGCAGGATTGTGATTATTTGTTACAATAAGTTCACTGTAAAAATGGCCTGTTATATAAAGAAATTTGGATTTTGGAGAGGTTTAATATTTTCAAGAAAGTGAAAGATGGGACTGTTATGAGCGGAGAAGAAACAGGTTGGGTTATTTCAATCAAAATTTCCATCCAAAAAAACATACTCCGTATATGTAATTGTAAAGATACTATTCCACTAGACATTCTTGGGTAGAAAGCTCAATTCCAGACCAATTGGTATTTCAAGCAGCAAACATCAGCTTTTATGAAATCAGTTGAGGCTACAAATGGATAAAGGCAAAGACTTGGAGAGAATACATGTAGCATACTCTAACTGTTGTTGATCAATGCTAACATCAGAACTTGTATCATCATACAACCATATCGATAAAGGATGACATAATGGAAATCTTCCACAAAAGTCAATTCTTCAAAAAAAACAAAAAGACAATCGAAGTTCATCCATCGGATAACTCCTGTAGAAGATCAAATGTAGCATCTGGTATAACCATGCATGTACACAGTACACTTTAAGTAAAATGTCCCACATTGGAACTGTAAAAAACCATATCCGTAAATATTACAATACATATATGTTGTATGTGCTCGGGAAATGATAAGTGCAAATAAAAAAGACAAGAAAGGGGCAAAATTGGACCTGATCTGGGAAGAGGGGAGAGAAAACCAGGAGAAGGGTAAGCACTGAAAGTGGGAAAAGAGTGGAATTGGATTTTGTTGAAGCCCAGATTCACAGATAGGTTGAGAGCGAATAAATTGGCAGCAACTGATGATGAAGATGATGATGAAAGAGAGGCAGCTGCACCAACACCTTCTGCTACAAAGGGAAAAGCCCACATTTTTGGGACCAATCCGATCCGACTCTGAGTCGATCTTCAGATACACACAGATGCAAACACTATGGTATGCCTCTTTCAGTCTTCCTTGACTTTCTGCCCACAGAGGAAATGGCCAAAAGTGGTAAAGAAAGACAACACAAAACTACTACCTAGAATGTACTCGCTGTTGTTCTCCGTTAAGGGTCTATTTGCAATTCTACTTTTAAAAAAGTGCTATTTTTAATGAAATGGGGAAAAGTGATTAAATAAAAGTTGATATTGTTTGAGAAAAAAGTGATTTTGAAAAGTAAAAATGGGTAGTGTTTGGTAAAATAAGTGTTTTTTGTGTAATAGAAAAAGTAAAAGCACTTTTAACGCGGAAGTCGAGAAAAATAAAAGTTGTAGTGTTTGGGAAAATAAGTGCTTTTTTAAAGCCAAAAGCTGGAAAGTGTTTTTTTAAAATGAGTTGCAAACCAACCCTAAGTTCCTGTTTTGACTTCACATTTGACTTTATTGTGGAGCGCACTCTTTTGCATTGTTTGGACACTGTTTGGCACCATTTTGGCACTATTTTGGTGTAAATAATTTGCCAAATAAAGAAATGTTTGAAAGTAAAACTTAATTTTGATACTACCCGAAAGGAAAGATTGAACTTGTTTCCGGGACGGAGGGAGTATAAAAATAACCCTAGATGCACAACTTTTGTGTACATTTATTTATTGTTCACTACGACCCATTCGGTATTCGGTGATCCCGTTTTTTGGCTTATAGCTATCAGTCAACTTTTTGATTAAATACGTAACTTTTGATTTCGCGCACTGATTTGTGTAATAATCAAAATAAGTAAGGAGGAAGTTATTGTAGAGGACTATTTTAGCTATTTATCATATAAGTTTTTCTTTATTTTATAAATAACAATTATTTTAAATATAATTTTTTAATGAATCAATAGAATCAGTCACTTCAGCCAGAACGTCATAAATTTCAACAGAATCAACTGATTCAACCAATTTCAATGTTATCAAACAGGTCCTAAATATAAATATATACTTCATGTAGAAATATAATTAATAAATTTTCAATTATTATTATTATTATTATTATTATTATTAGTAAGATAAGAATATGAAGGTAAATGAGTCAAAATGGGTACCTAGAATAATAAACGTGCATACATTCTTTTGATAGTATTACCATTCTTTCATCAAAAGTTTACTCTAGAGCTAATAAGCGTAAAAAGTTTAATTGTGTAGGATGTTGTAGAGAAAAGATTAAAATGTGGAACCATTTCTTTGAGCTTACAAATGACTGAATGAGTCAAATTATTTGAGTTTGAAATCTTGATTTTTTTAACTGATGCATAAATGCATAATAATTGCTTCTATCACATATAAGACATATAAAAAGCATACATCATCAAAATATATGGTTAGGGAACTCAGGGGCGGATCTATAGTCATGGGAATGGGGGCAAGTGCCCCCAATAACTTATTATAATACTTTTGTAAAACTTATAATCTCAAGGTATGCCCCCAATTAAAATATAGCAATGCCCCCAATATAATTTTCATTTGGCCTAAATTGAAGAAGTTACCTCCACTAATTAAAATTATTTCCAGATGGACCGTATAATTTACTATGGGTATTTAATTAATCATTCCCTTTATTATTTTTCCTAGACTACTGATATAGGCAATACGTTCGATTTATTACCACTACTTATTAAATTTTATTTTGTTATTTTGCTTCCTTTGGGCTTTTGCATCTTTCATTTTATGCAGGAATTAAATAAAAAACGATTTCAATTATAGTTCAATTTGTAGGATTCTTTCAAGTTGTTAATGTTTTGTGAGAAATGGTGCTAAATAGGACTACAAACGTTTGAGAATTATAAAATAGAATTGTCATATATATATATATATATATATATATATATATATATATATATATATATATATATATATATATATATATAGAGAGAGAGAGAGAGAGAGAGAGAGAGAGAGAGAGAGGAATGTTCATGTCAGGCCGGCCTGACGGGCTGCCCCGTCCGGCCGAGCCCGTTTGGGCACCTTCCCGGTGGAATTTTTTGATGAAATTTTTTGAGCATGTTCCTCATCAAGTCTAGTTTGTCCATACCAAATTTCAGCTCAAAATTCGATCGGGAAGGTCGTCAAATGATTTTTGCAAGTTAACTGGTCCGGAATATGTATTTTCCGGACCAGTTAACTTGCAAAAATCATTTGACGACCTTCCCGATTGAATTTTGAGCTGAAATTTGGTATGGACAAACTAGACTTGATGAGGAACATGCTCAAAAAATTTCATAAAAAAATTCCACCGGGAAGGTGCCCAAACGGGCTCGGCCGGACGGGGCAGCTCGTCAGACCGGCCTGATGAGAAGAGCTCTCTCTCTCTCTCTCTCTCTCTATATATATATATATATATATATAAATAGGAGTAATTAATGTCATGTTTTGACAGTATCATACTTTAGACATGACAAGATTTTTCAAACTTGATAGAAATTACTCCTATTTTTGAAAAAATGACACTTTTATTTTGAAATTTTGAACATTTTTACTCATTTTTTCGGAAACGTTTTTTGGTTTTAGTAGAAGTTAATATATAGAAATAAGCTTAGAGCTTAGTTTTAAAAAGTAAGAACTAACATAGTTTTGTTTTTATTAATATGTGTTTTTACGACTTAAACATAGCTAGATAGCGATATCATTAAATAATGTGCCCCCAATAAAAGCGATTCCTGGATCCGCCACTGAGGGAGCTCCATTTGACTTGAATTGAGTTTAATGGCTAGCTAGAAATTTTAATTATCATGTTTGAAATATGTTCAAATCAAATTTATTTGTGTCGCGCCTGGGTCTGCCTCTATTAGAAAAGCATCACAATCGACACCCAATGACATACAAGTATATAGCTAATGATAGTTTGTAATATACTCCCTCCGTCCCTTATAACTTTGCCAACTTTCCTTTTTTGGATGTCCCATTAACTTTGCCACTTTCCCATTTAAGTAAAGAATTTGTGGTTCCAGTTAATTCTCTCTCCTCTGCACAAACCTCAACCACACAGTTTTTACTTTATTAATCCCCGTGCCAGTCAAACTTGGCAAAGTTATTAGGGACGGAGGGAGTACATTGTACAAGACTACAAGTATACTCATTGACGTTAAGTGTTAGATTGTTAACATGCAAGCTGCATACATACATAATGTTACATATGAATAGTTGATTTTGACAGAGATATACCCATTGACAGCGCTAGAGGTGTAATATCAACATACACTTTGTTTATCCATTTTAAAAATAATCTAATTTTACATATAGTCAATGTTTTGTCACACACTAGTAGTGCTTTCCCTAGACAATTATTGTTTATTACGTAAATCAATTTTCAAGCACACAACACAGATGTATGTGTACATTCTATCGACGAGCGCGCAAGCTAAGAGCATCTTCAATGCTACAATGTGCACAGTGCACATGTGGCATGTGAGATAGCCACACAAATATGAGTAAATAAATTATCTCTCTCCTTATCTGAATGAATTATTACAGTTTCGGTAAGTTTTTCTCTGCAATGTCAAGGAGACCGTCTAGATATAGACATTGTTGTTGACATTGTCAAGAAAAAGTTACCAAAATTACATAAAATCATCCAATCAAGGAAAGAAATAATTTATTTACTAATATTTGTGCGAATATTTTTCATGCCAATGTGCACCGTGCACATTGTAGCATTGAAGATGCTCTAATATTTATGCACACGCAAATCAATGTCTGTTTACAAACAACAATTGATTACATAAACAATACTCCATATAATTTGTGGATTTTCATAATATTTTCTTCACAAACATGAGTTCACAATACACACGCAAACTAATATGTAGTACGACCTCCGTCCCCCTAATATTGGGACGAAAGGAAGTGGTGTGGATTTTAAGAAAAGTAGAATTATGTAGTTGATAATGAATTGATAAAATGAGAATAAAGTAAGAATGAATTAGAGTCACACAAATGTTACCAAATATGGTATGAGACAATAATAAGGGGACATCCAAAAATGAAAAAATATGACAATTATAGAGGAACGGAGGGAGTATATGTTAACGAGAATACAAGTTGTCTATAATCTAACTCCATAGACAATAATTGTCTAGTGACTCAGATTCATTGTGCGCAAAAAATATACCCCAATTTGTACAAATGTTTAACCTTAACGATCTATACTCATTGGCTTGAAACATGAAGAACGGTATACCTCTTCTACATGTCGGCTTTATCAAATGCATACTCTTAAAAGTTACTTGTGTGTAACATCACTTTTACCCTCAAAATTTACTTAAAAATCACTTGTGGGGTGGCATTACTTGATAAGCACTTTTTTGGGATGAAATAAAAATCTTTGAAAAACATAAATACTCCTTGTTGCTTTTTCATGTCCCAAATGCAGACTAAAAACTCTTTCCTTCACTAGTCGAAATAAAAACTACATACTATTTCCTTTAAACTTATGTAAAATCATGTTGTACATGTTTGCTATGAACTGTAAGCAATGAACACTAAAATTTCTCTATATCACAAGAAAACTATACAAATGTCATTTTCTTGCATGCCCTCTTCCCCTGGAAAACCAGAGAATACGAACCTGCCATTCTGAACACTACAAAGAAACAGATAAACCATTGAAGAAAGCCAAGGTGTAGGGTGAGGTGGACTTTCCGAACAGAGAACACCAAGAAGGAAGCTTCTTCAGAATTTCTGCAGTTTGTGGTGTCTGTCTGTCCACATCAGTTCTCAGTTTCAATAACGCATGTTCCTCTTCAGACCCCTCATTGGTTCTTGTGTGAGATCGGGTTTTGTGCCAAAAAAGAGTCAATGTGAACTTTGTAGGCGCTTTCTTCCCTCCCGAAAATTGAATGGTGTGCCAACCATCTGTACTGCTAGTCTTACCCCCAAGTGACACCAACTCCTCAGAATCATCTGCATCACAAACACAAAACCATATACTAACATACTAAGACTAAATATTAAGACTAATAGTGGGCAGCCCCCGGGGACAAATTCAGGGCTGTTCGGGCAGTCTACTGCACGCTCTCAGTTCACTCGACTTCCGCCGAAAGAGTTAGAATCTTTACATGTGCTCAGGGGACA